ACCGGGCCTCGTGTGTGTGTGTGTGTGTGTGTGTGTGTGTATTTAAAGAAGCCTGGTTTTGCTGCCATATACATCTGAGTTTGAATTCCAGGTCTGATAGTAGTAACATGACCTACAACAAGCTATTTAACATTTGATTCTTGGTTTTGACACATCTATCTTTCAACATTGCTGTGAGGATAGATGCAATGTATGAAATACTGGCACAGTGCTGGAAGCATGTAGGTAGATAGACCTTGGGAAGATGATAGCTTAGGAAGATGAAATAGTACTAATTTATAGGATTACTGAGTGGATTGAGAGAGAGAGCATGACACAAGTTCTGGGATCACTGGATGTTCAAATCCTGGTTCCATCCTCACTAGCTATATATCTTTGTGCAAGATATATCTCTTCTTGCACAGGCTTTCCAATCTGTAGCATGGGTATAATAATAGCACTTAATTAATGTTATTATTATATAGATAGAATTAGGTGTTAGCCTTAAAACACTAAGAACAGTGCCTGATATATAGAAAGGGTGAGAGGTTTTCTTTTTTTTTTAAAGGAGATATAGTACATAGAATACTTTAGCACAGTATATCTAATACATAAGCAGAACTTTAATATTAGTATAATTAGCTAGTGCTTATTTTATATGGTTTTAGTTTAATGTTAAGTAATTTCTCCTCACATGAGATTTGAAAGCCTCTGCAATAAAACAAATCACAGAATTATAAATCCCAGGGTGGTGGAACTTATCTGAAAGTTGTTCCTGTGTGGTGGTTGTAAAACTGACCCTAAAATTCTTCTGCTCTCATCCCATTAGGAGGTGGAGTTTATTTTCCCTCCCACTGATTCCAGGCTCAGTGACTACTCACATGATAAAATAATATGTAAGTGATGCTTCAACTTCCTGTCTCTTGGGCTGCTTGCTCATGGAACCCAGCCATCATGCCCATGTGGGGAGGAACCGATGCCTCTGTTTCTCTGAGCTCCCAGGTGACATGTGAGTGAGCCACTTTGAACATGCAACCCTTTTATACCAGGTTGAGCCTACAAAGCTGACACTGTCTGTAATAGAGACTGGCTATGCCTGCTGAGCACTTACCCATGTTACAGATTCGTCGGCAAAAGTTTTGTTGTTATTTCCTGGCATTAGTTTTGGGGTACTTTATGCAACAATAATTAACTGGAACATCTAGTTTGTTCCCCCACTGATGTTTGCATTCACTTATTTAACCTTTGCTTAACTATTTAACCACTGAACAAATATTTATTGAATTTCTTAAGTATCAGACATTTTCTAGGCACTAGGTGATACATCAGTGAATAATAAGAAAGGTCTTCAGTGCAAAATTCCTCATATATGAAGGGAAAAAGACAAAAAAGGGAATAAATATATAATATGATGTCTAGCTTTGATATGTGCTGTGAAGGAAAGGGAGATGATATAAGGAGTGATGAATCATGTGTGTGTGTGCACACGTGTGTTTGGGGACAGATGTTACTACTTCAGGAAGGGTGTTTGGGGAGCACTACCTAATGAGGTGACATCTGCGCAAAGATCTGAAGGAAATGAGGGAGCTGGTTGTATAGATCCGTAGAGAAGGAGAGTTCCCAGCAGAAGGAAGAGTGGTGTAAGTTCTGAGGCAGGAGCATGTGCACATGTTCAAGGAATAATAACTAGGCCTTTGAGGTTGGAAAGGAGTGTGCAAGGAGCAGATTGATCGGAAGTCAGGTCTGGGAGAAAGTGAGAGCTTCAGAGGCTATGTAAAAAAAGTTGTATGTAATTCTAAGTGAGATGAAAAGGCATTGGAGGGTTTTGATCATTCCATTTTTTATTAAGTCAAAATTTACATGAAACAAAAATGCACAAATTTTATGTGCATAATTTGATAAGTTTTGACAAATGTATACTCCTGTGAAAATAACCAGTCATCACAAGAAGTTATCTTTTGCTCGCTACTCATCAGTCTTATCTAATAGATAACCACCATTCTGATTTCCATCATTGTAGATTAATTTTACGTATTCTTGAACTTAATATAAATGAAATTGTACAATGCATACTATTGTATGTCTGGTTTCCTTCTTTTAAAAAAATGTTTTTTTAGCCCAGCCTGCGTGGTTTAGTGGTTGAGTGTCAACCTATGAACTGGGAGGTCATGATTCTATTCCCAGTCAGGGCACATGCCTGGGTTGTGGGTCAATCCCCAATAGGAGGCGTGCAGGAGGCAGCCGATCAATGATTTTCTCTCATCATTGATGTTTCTCTCTCTCCCTCTTCCTTTCTCTCTGAAATCAATAAAAATATATTTTAAAAAATGTTTTTGAGATTTATTCATATTGTTGCATGCATCACTAAATCATTCTTTTTTATTGCTGAGTAGAATTCTGTTCTATGAATACCTCACAATTGGTTCATCCATTCACCTATGATGGATATTTGCGTTATTTTCAGTTTTTTCTACTAAGAATAAAACTTCTATACTAGTAAACATTCTTGCAAACATCATTTTGTGGGTATATATTTTTCATCTTTCATGGGTTAATGCCTAAGAGTAGAATTGATGGCTCACAGGGTAAATGCATGTTTAACTTGATAATCCAAATAGTTTTCCAAACTGTTTGTGCCATTTTATACTCCCCCCAGCAATGTGTGGGAGTTTCAGTTGCTCAGCTTACTAGCCAACATTTGGAGTTCTCAGTTTACTCTCTTCTGCCTTGGCTTCTTACTTTCACAGCAGTCACAAGATCCTATGTTCTCCATGCCCCAACCACAGGGCCAAGATAGGAAAAAAAGACAGTAAATTTTGTGAGATAATATCAGTATTTTTATAGCTGTTTTAATATTAAAAATATTTGTTGAACTTAAACATGATCTCTAGCTTTATTTTTATAATATAGTTTAGTATTTAACAAATCTTTGTAAGGTAATATCTTTAAGTCCACATTATCTCTTTCTTCTATTGTCATAAATGTGTTATTGATTTCTATAGTGTAACTTTAATGTATTTTAAAATAGTAAGTTACACTCACATTTTTCTGTTTTCCATTCATATAATCCCAGTTTTTTCTTACATTTTTGTTGATTTCAAAGAGTAAGGAAGAGAGAGAGAAGTAGAAACATCAGTGATGAGAGAGAATCATTGATTGACTACCTCCTGCATGCCCCACATTGAGGATCAAGCCTGCAACATGGGCATGTGCCCTGATTGGGAATCTAACCGTGACCTCCTGGTTCATAGGTCGGCACTCAACCACTGAGCCACACTGGCTGGGCTAATCCCAGTTTCTTTAATAATTTTCATGTAAATATGATTTTCCAATCCCTCAATCAAGTGTGTGACTATTCTCAGAAGTGCTTCTGTGGACTACCTATAGTTATTCAATTGAATCAATAATATCAGGTTTCAAAGCAGTGAATTCAGCTGTAAATTACTTTGGGCATCTCTCTGCATTTCTGTGTATATAAGCCAGTGTGAACTGTTTTTCATCGGTTGTACAATTTCTCTATTTACACTTTCTAAGAATGAAGCTGTGCATGATCTCTAGCCACATGTGTGCTCTATGTATATGTGGAATGTTATATATGTAAATAAACACAGCTGCACTTATTAAATTGTATGACCATATGAAAACACATACATGCAATGCACACATACTCTTGCACACATGAGACTTTCAGATAAGTCCAGTCAGGGTGTTTATTTGAAGGGTTATGGTGTGGTCACTCAAGTATGTCCTTTTGCTTGGTTTATTAGGCTCTTGTGTTGTTTGGTTACATAAACACCCTGCCCTAGATTTGTAAGGGTCCTTGCTACAGCCTTCCCTTTCCACTTTTCATCATTTACAAAAACCATTCAATAATTTGGGTTCTTTTTAAATAAATATTTTATACAGCCCAGCTGGTGTGGCTCAGTGGTTGAGTGTCGACCTATGAACCAGGAGGTCATGGTTCATTTCCTGGTCGGAGCACATGCCCGGGTTGTGGGCTCGATCCCCAGTGTTGGGCATGCAAGAGGCAGTCAATCAATGATTCTCTCTCATTATTGATGTTTCTTTCTCTCTTTCCTTCTCCTTTCCTCTCTGAAATCAGTAAAAATATATCTAAAATATATATATATATATGTACAAACAGAGAAAAGAACAGATTTTGATGTGTTTCCTAAGCTCTGACAGTTTTCAAATGGGTTAAACTCTTATGATGAAAAGTGGTTGAGCTCCTATTATATACATTTCATTCTGACAAGAAGATAATGTGTTTACTATATTGCATTATAATTTACCATTTTATGTGTCTGTACTTCCTGCCTGGTAATAAATAATAACCAATGCTTCATTAATATATGTTATCTCTAGTAAGAAGTATAGTTCTTGGCACAAAGTAATTGCCCAATAAAAAACAAATGCCATGCTAAAGGTATGAATTTTACTAGATTCTCAAAGTCAGCTCATGATAGAAGTAGAGAGCAGAGAGAGGTACAAAGTTTTTGTCTCCACCAGTCTAATGAAGCTGCTCTTTCTTCTCAAAGTGACCAATAAGTTCCATCATGTTAAATCTATTGGCAGATTATCAGTCCTCTTTTTTTCCCATCTACTCCTACTGTTACCCCCAACTGCCCCACACTTTAGTCTCCATTTAATAGAGTTTTTCTCCTAAAACACAAATCAGATTGTATCAGTCTTCTCAAAACCTTCCAAAGGCCTCCCAGATTACAGAGAACTCAATCCAGAGTTCTTACCATGATCTTCAAGGCCATGACTGTCTTTCTGACCTCAGCTGCCACTTCTCTGATGCTCACTTGCTCCAGACACACTCGTCTCTTTGCTGTTCTTTGAACTTGCCAAGCATGCATTGACCTCAGGGCTTTGCACATGTCATTTTCTGTTTGTTTGTTTTTTTCTTCAGAATCTACATGGCTTACTTGTTCATTTCACTCAACATTAAGTTGTCTTTCTGTGACAGCACTGTCTCATTCTCCAATCCATTTATTTTCATAATATCTCCACTACCTGGCATTAAATATTTCCAAACTTGTTTTTTGTTCATCTTTTCACTAGAATATAAACTTTATTTATTCATTGCTGTTTCCTGGGAGCCTAGAATAGAACCTTGGCAGATTAGAGGCACTCACAATGTCTGTTGTACAAATAAATGAAGCACAAGTCTATTAGCCACTTATTTTTCTGAGCTATGGTTTAAGTGGTCCTTTAAAACCTCAAGAAACAGCTTCTCCCAATATCTCTTGGTACACAATGCTGAGTCTTGGGGAGGAAGTGGGTAAACATACATAGAATAAAAAATCTGGAAGAAGAAATGAGACTCATTTGAGGTTCAATGTTACTATTAGGAATAACTCCGGTTAAAAGTCACTGGAATAAAAGTACATCCAGAGGCCCCAAAGTAAGTTCATAGGGAGAAAAAGAAGATTCTATGATGGCTGGGGATTTTGGAGGCAGCTGATAACGAACCAGCTTATGGCTGAAGCTAGAAACTTTCCTAGGTCCAGGCACCCTTGCACAACTGACATGTTTCAGGAAGAATGGCTACGTTCAGGCACATAACCAAAATACAACCATAACCTTAGAGTCCCAAGCGTATTACATTGCCTAACCAACCAAGGGGACAGCCATAAATAGAAATCCATCAGATCATGTGGCGGCAGCAGAAACAATGGCACCAGGTCATGGCAGACATCTAGTTCTTTCTGCTTGGCATTTGGAAGCAGGAGTAATTCCTTTGAAATAAATACACAGGTTTCTTGGATAATTTGGGTGGGAGACTTAAAAGACTATGGATGCATTTCTGTCTTTGTTTTTATTCCCCAAAAAACTTAGAGCCAGAGATAATGCCCAAATATTGGAGTCAGTTCAGACACCAATGCATTAAAGTTCTTTTAAAAAATTATTGTAGAATTCATTTTCTTTTGAGGTTCCATTCATCTAGCATTTCGATCTATAAGTCAATTAAATACTTTAGGAAGTTA